CTGATACTGCCCTCTTATGACCCAGATGCATCTATGTGGACATTAATGTGAGTGGTTACCTCCAAGTATTGATGTGCTATTTTTAACGGAGAATATTCAATCCTTGCTCAAAGTAAGTATATGATTAGTGTTCTGAGGAATAGAATTGCTCTAATTTAAAGGAGAGGGTAGAAAATGTTCTAGAAAGGGGAAAAAATCTGAGCTCTTTATAAAACATATGCAAATTCCTCAAACTTGCTTTTAAAAAAAAAAAATTGAATTATGGGCTTCCCAGTCAACATTTCCAAAAGCCGCTTCATTCTTTTTTAGTTCTTTCTAAACTACACAATCTCTGAGAGCTCAGCCCCTCTTTTCATTGGTCTCTCTGCAATACAAGAGCCACTAGGGTGGCATTTTCACCTCTGGATACGTAGGGTGAAGCGGTTCTGGGTTTGCTATTCTGCAGTTACATGTCACATTATCCTAACAGATACCACTATTATCTAAAACCATTAACTTGCTGTAAAGATTAAACAGTTCACCTAAGTGAACACTCTGCCCTCATAGTAACCCATTTATGACACGTGTGTGTTTTAAGGCACAGCAGTGCTTCTAAAAAGTTCAGATCCTTAAAGTCCTCATCTGTGGCTCTCCAAATTGTTTTCACTCCCAACACACCTCAGAAATTCGAAACACTTCAGTCCATCGGCATGATTCCCAGGGGGCTGGGGGAGGCATATACTCACACATTAGGTCCTAACATTTGAAAAGCCTCTGAGGTCATTTTGATAATCCAACACACCCCACTGGGGGGAATGAGGACAGAGAAGGGTATGAAACCCACCTCATGGGGCTGAAGATCACTGGTTTAGTAGAGCATTCATTGTCTTACGGGCAGAGACCACAGGACAGCTTCTAGCTCTAGCCCCCTGTCCAACTCTCCTCTGAAATTAGAAGCTGGCTTTTTTTTTTATTTGTCTCTGGGTTTTGATAGGAAGAAAAGCAAAAATAGAACATCTCTTCCCACTAGAGAGGAGAAGAGCCAGCTGTACTCCTGGGCAAAGGAGGTGGCCACCCACAAGGTGTAGTCTCTGCTGGGGGAGCTGAATGAAACTCTTCAACCAATGCTTGACTCCCCTTCATAAAGACAAATTATTCCATCCCACTATTAGTGATCCTGCAGAAAAGAGAATCTTCCTGACTTACACATAGACATACTATATGCAGATGACTGATAATACAGAGCTCTTTTCCTGAAACCAGGCTTCGATCAGAACATAGAAGGAGACAGGGGACAGGAGTAGCTGCCACAGGAAGAACAAGGCTGAAAAAAGAGAGAGATGCCTGGAGGCCTTTGTCTCCCACACAGCTTAGCCCAGGCAGATATAGCAGGTGAAGACAAGGCTATTCCAGGGTTGTCCAAAAAAAGAGAACTAAGATATCTGGATATTACTTCCAATTTTAGCACAAGTATTTTCTATAGAATTTTAAAACAGGTGCCAGCTACACTCTCAAGACCTCAACTAATGTTTATTGTTGGGCAGGAAAGTGAGTAAATTCATTAATTAGGACCTTGTTTATCCTTTATCATCACATTTCATTGTTTGTGTATTTTTTTTTAATTTTTATTTTTTTAATTTCTTTTCAGTGTTCCAGCATTCATTGTTTATGCACCACACCCAGTGCTCCATGCAATACGTGCCTTCCATGATACCCACCACCAGGCTCACCCAACCTCCCACACCCATCCCCTCTAAAACCCTCAGTTTGTTTCTCAGAGTCCACTTCAAACCAAGAGGAACTACCTTCTTTTAACTCCATTAATTTAGGAATAAGTGGCAATATATTGATATCTGTGCATCTTTTTGGATTCTATGGGTTATGTCATCCTGAAGGGGTCCTAACTCCAAAAAACTGTCCTAAATATTCACCTTTATTTAAATCATAGCATTTGGCTTTACCACACTATTACTTTTCAAAAAGAAATTGTAAGCCAATCTCCAATGCACTAATTTGCTAAACTTTCTTTTGCTAACTATACTAATATTTCATGGCAATCCTAGGATACATGTTTAAATGGAATACATTCACACATAAAGTGAAACATTTTCTATTCCAAGAATGATTATCATCATTTCATGCTTAATATCAGTGTAGAGTGCTAGCTAGAGTCTCAAGTAAATCATCAAAGTGAATTAAAGTAGCAAAACAATAAAAATTATCATTAAATTCACACGCCTGTGGCTCTAGGTTCAGCTGGAAGAAAAGATAGGCTAAGTACCTCTAGTCTCTCACTTACTTTTGAAACACACACATTTTTCAAGCCCCAGTAATTTGGTTAATAAATACATTTGCTTCCACATAATAAATGCTCAGTCTGTGCCAGTGTACTGATTTTAGTTATGATATTCACCGTAACCAACACCCCTCCTGACTAAAAGTCACCCACTCTCTGTGATTTGGTTAAGGGTGGCAAGAGCAGCCCTCTTATGTGCTGACCACTGTCTTAAGTGTTGACCTGCAACAATGGGCTCTGCCCAAAGAGTCAATGGTAATTCCCCCACCTGGGCAAATAAGGTCCCTCCAGAACTACCCAAGGCAGTGAAAAGAGAATTGGCCAGTCGATGACAGAACAGAACAAAGGGAAGACAGATCCAGCCTACATAAAAACCAAACCCACCCTTCAGATGGCCTGAAGGTCCCTTTGGCAGCTCAAGGAGGTGAAGGGCATGGGCAGGTACCGGTGGAAACCTTCACCTGCATTTTCTCATTAAATCCATCCAAAAACCTAACATAACATTATTATCCCCATTTTACAGATAAGCTGATTCTATTAGTGTAAAATTAATGTCAACATGCTTTAAAAAGCTCAGAGAAGCAATTATCACCAATACTCCACTCCTCAAATCCTTGTCTATATTTGGCTGGCCACCAGACTATATAGGAAGGAGATGGGATTCATAGGAATTATGACGGGACTAAAGGGAACAAGAATTAGTGTATAAAGGAAAGGTAACAAAAGGAAGGGAGAGGATTCTAATGAAGGTTTCTCTCTTCTTATGCTGTAAAGGAAACAGAGAGAGACAACCTCAAAAATGGAGAGAGAGACAAACCAAGAAATAGACTCATAACTATAGAGAACAAACTAATGGTTACCAAAGGGGAGGTAGGGGGAAGGGGGATAGGTGAAATAGGTAATGGGGATTAGAGTACATGTATCATCATGAGCACTGAGTAATGTACAGAATTGTTAAATTGCTATATTGTACCCCTGAAACTAACAGAACACTGTATGCCAACAGAATGAAAATTAAAAGCTTTAAAAAAAATAAAATAAAATAAAATAAAATAAAAGTGGGTGTTGTTAAGCAACAGAGTTAAAAACAGGAAAGAGATGCTTTGGAGCAAGTGGGAAAAGAAATCAAGTCAGAGAGCAAAAAGATGGTGGGAAAGTGGCTAAATCTAGACACCATCACAGAGCACAAAATGGCATGCAGCTCAGAATTGAGACTTGTGAGAGAAATTCTAGATCCCAGGATGTGGGGAGAGACATCTGGAAAATCCTGGTCTTCGTCTTGTCTCCAAGCAAGGGGTCAGCTAGCCCAAGGGAAATTATTCTAGAAATGACAAATTAGAGCACCTTTGGCTGCCTATTTTAATCTCGTGTCCTTCTCATTGCCAAGAGGCTCTTCTTAATGTCCTTCCAAATGTCTCCAGCACTCTATGCCTCTTCAATACCCCTTAGACACAGAGAGCTTCTGCTCAGCAGCATCCTCATTTCAGAAAATTTCATCAATCTGAAAATAGTCATTAAGCTGCCTCTTAGCATTCTGTCCTCTAAACTAAAGGGATTCATCCAGAACCTGGACAGCCACCTAGGGAGAGGTTACAAAGAAGATTCCAGCATACAAAGTGAGCCAGACTCCATGGTGCCCCAAGATATCTTCCAATCCAAGAGTCCTTGATTCAATCCCTTTCATCTTTTTTTGTGTGAACTTTTCCATCAATTTGTTCAGTTTTGTTGCCATGGCTGTCACCTTTCCAACTTCTCCATATTCCTTTAATGTTTTTAAATCTAATATGCAGAGGAACAGTTTTTCACAATATAAAACAAAGCCTCATTAATTCCGATTAAGTTGGAAAAGTCAAGTCCTACTAAGAAACCAGTGAAAAGTATTTTCAATTTAAAAAAATTATTATAGAACACTTCATAATAGATATTAACAAGCAAAATGAGAAAGTTAATAAAGATGGTGAGTCACAACAGCTTTATTTTTATGGCACCTCATACTTTTCAAAGTATTATTCCATACATTATTTTGTCAATTTTATTCAATATGTAAATGCAATTTATAGGTAGTAGATCATCAAACCTGTATCAGAAAGGCTTGAATTATCCTGCTAAACTTGAACTTTTAACTCAATAAGAATTAAATATAATTATTCCAAGTGTGCATCAGAGCAGTCTGAATTAATGAGGTTCTGCTCTACTGAAGTTATTATAAACTTGACAATTTTATGGCCATATTATATCCCAGAGTGTCACTCCCATCTACATGTTAGTAATAAATACTGTTTCTTCACATAGAAACTTTTGTCATAACAGAGCATCCCACTCTAAAGAAGCTTCACCAAGTAAATTATCTTATATCTCAAACACCATAGAAATGCTTCATATGAAAAATGTGCTAAGATTTCATTATACTCTCTAAAAACACTTGCTTTGACTTATAATGAGCATCAATAAGGAAGATATCGAAAGAGGTGAAGGACTCAATAGAAATTATCACCTGTTCGTTCAGGGTGGTGGTTGGGGGGCAGTCACAATTAATCCAAACTAACTAACTAAATCAACACATGTATAAACCCAGTCACAGAATCATCTATTTGAGGAACCTGGGTGACCTTGAGAAGGTCTGTGAACATCTTCACCATGTTCACTTTCTTCTTAAACCTGTGGTTGGAGTCAGAAAAATTTATTGTCTTTTCACAATGGTCAGAAAGACAATGGCTTTACCTACCTTAAAAAGTCTTAAAATGTTAGCAACCATGATGGACACGGAGCTTGCTGCAGCACCTATGACACCAGAAATCTTGTCAGGCTTGGTGAAAATGGGTGGATCTCCATTAGCACACTTCACGTCGGAAGCGTCTTTCTCTATCAATGCCTGCACGAACGTTAACGACTGCTCCAAAGCATACGTGTCCCTGGAGCATGTGTCAAGGATCCGGACACCCAGAGTGATATTGGAGAGGAGGTCAGGGTCCTTATTAATCTGGTCGATTGCATAAAGCATGGCCTCCAGTCTGTGGATCCCCTTTTCCTTCTTCAGCTCCCCACAAGGTACCCCTCTCTCTCCCTTTGCATGGACAGGGAAGAGACCCCCCAAAATGATGTCCCCATCCACTCGTATGGAATGGGCATACTCCTGGCTGTGAGTTCTTTGCATCATTGTGAGGATCCAGTAGAACTTGGCGGTCAGGAGGAAGAAACAAGGGCAAGAGGCTGATCGTTTTCCCTCGCATACCATTTTCTCCACAGGTGGTGTTGCAACCCAAGACCCAAAGTTTATTCTTGCCACAGAAGAAGGGGGACCACCAGAGGTTGCACCTTCTGGAGGCTACCATCAGGGCCCATGGGGGAAAATGCTCTGTGGGTTTCAGCAAGTTTTCTTGATTTGAATGTCACAGTGAATTTCCATCAGACCCCTAAGGTTCAATTTTATTTCCATACAAAGTCAACTTGCCTGGAATGGTGCAAAAATTAGAATAACAGCTGAGGTTCTGAAGGTAGGATGAGGTCAACAATTCACGTCCTTGAAGTCAGCCCTGTAGCAGAATTATTCCTGGGGGGGCAGGGGGAGGGAAAAAAAGGGTTCAGTTCAACGGGTCTACATTTTTCATATTTTTAAGCCCTGTTTATACCAACCTCTTTTTTTTTGTTTGTTTCATTTCCCCTATTCAGTAAGAAACTAATTTTTTTTGTGTCCCCCTTATGATTCTGAACACCTGGCTGCACTGCATCCAAACAGAGAGATTGATGACACTTTTGGAGCAAGGGAAACAGAAAAGTATCAGAAACTAGGTTGATTCTCCCGAGCCACAAAGTATTTTTATTTACCATTTTATTTCAATAAATCCAATTTCCATGCAGGTAAAAATCCTGTGATTGATGGCATTATTTCTTTTCAAATCTGTTTTTACTTTTTACGGTTGTCTGAATTTAGCATTTAAATGGTGTCCAAAAAATCATAAGGTTCTCTCCCTTCTGGCCAGGGTTAGGTACAAGTAACATCATACATCATTAGCCACTTCACCAAAAGTCCCTGCTGGCCCAGGGAGGAGGCCTCCGGCTGGAACATGAGTCTGGGACCTCCTAAGAGGGCTCTTGTTTCCTGAAAGGCCAGTAGTAAGGACAGCTCCTCAAGGGCCAGGGCCCGGAATTCTGTTTCTCTTTGTTTTCTACATACTTTCTCTGTACCAAAGACCCAAGTATGTAACACAGTAGCTCATGAATTTTCATACACCCATCATTAGCTCTTACAGAAATGAGAGAAGAAGGCCCAGAAAGGTTGAGTATGGCCCAAAGCCCTGAGCTAGTAAATGGCACCGCTGTCAAAATCCCCAGGCCCCCAAGGTGGGTCCTGTCCTTCAGAAAGTCCTCAGTGCTGAGACTGGCTGACACGTGAGTATGAAGGCCCTTCCCTCCACTGAAATCTTTCAGAAATATGTAGATCTTCAATGGTTAGCTCTTGAAGAAAAATAATGGAGAAGTTAGGAGAAGACAATCTGGGGGCATTTTCTAGAGCAGGGTAATTTCCAAATCCCTCGAAGAGCTGAGGATACCAGATACAGTTTGTCCAAACTCCTGCTACAAACCAGGTTTCCCGGCCAGCCTGATGTCAATGAGAACAAACCCGGCATCCCACATAGGGCCCTTCGGGTCTGTTAGCAGGTCTTCCTCCAACACTTGGCAAGTGCTTTTAAGACATGATATGGTAAAATCCTCACTGAGGAATCTAATTAGCCAAGAACTGTGATTTTTTTTTTTCCTTCATAAAAAGGCCAAACAGCATCCCTAGGCTGGCTTCCATTCAGCTCTTTAACAAAAAGGTTAAGCTGAATATTGTCATCAACTCAGAATTGCAAATCTAGCAGTTTCACCTGAAACTGCCCATATTTGCAGCTCTTTTCGGTTGTTTTGGGAAACGGATCACATTTGTCTATGATCTCCTATGCTATAACATGTGTGCATGGCCCTGAAACCTCGGGGAAGGGTGTGTCCCAGAGTGAGGATGGGCTCCAGACAGAGCCCTCCCCTGACAACGCTGGAATTGGATCTTTGACAGTCACTGGCTGGTGACCTAAACATGCCACTTCACCTCTGTGTGCTTCCATTTCCTCATCTGTGAAATGAGGGAGATGGACCATATGATCTCTAAGGTATCTTCCAGCTTCCCATTCTGAGATTCTATTATTTAATAATAAGGGAATGAGATTATGCTCAAACACCAGAGCAAGGCTTTGCCAGCTCAACACAATAACTGACTCTGTTTGCAAGCTGAGTGACTTTTTCCCATCAGTGAGAGAGGGTTGTGAAAACTCTTCTGTACAAGCAAACCCCATATTAAGAAAATCTGATACATGAGAAGCTCAACTTACTAAACAGTTAAATTAGACAGTGATTACTTGCATTACAAAAGAATTCACCACAGGTTTCCTTTAAATAGCTAAATCCCCCATGCATTTAAAATGCAATCTGATTTAGTAGAATTCAATTTGTGCAGCTTTTTTCCCAATAACATAGCTATTGCATAAAAAAGCCACAGTTAAAGTAATGAGAAGCCACTCTTACAGTATGTATGTATCATATAAGAAGAGGGAAAGGGAGTGAAACCAACATTTACTGAATGCCTGCAGTGTACCTGGAGCCTCACACACATGATCTCATTTCCTCCACAAAACACACCTGTAAAATTGGTATCATGGCCCCCATTTGTGAGATGAGGAAACTAAAAACAGAAAGATCATATGAATGCATCCAAAATCTTGGGCCAGAACTCAAATGCAGGACTACTGCTATGTTCTTTCCCTCACTCCACGCCCCTTAGGTTCAGGAGACCATGACAGACAATGTGCACATGAGTGTGGTACCCTGGGGTTCAAGAAGTCCCTGATTCTAATCTCACTCCTCCCCCCACCACCCAGTATTTGCTATGTGGCATTGGGAAGTCACTTCACCTGGAACTAGTTTCTCTGTTTCTAAACTGAGGAATGGTTTCTGTCACCTCCCAAGACTGTGAAGTCAAATGATATAATAATGTATGTAAAAGTATTATATAAATTGCCAAGTGCTTAAGAATGTACAGAGATACATTAGTTTAACAATTAGTCCTGGAATTCAAAGATTTTACTAGTGTTTTGTGCTTAGAAGACTTGAAAAAACCACTTTACCATCACACTCAAAGCCGGCCAGACCCTAACAAGTCATGTGTCTAAGGAATCAAAGGAGACTGGAGGAAAATGGGAAAGAAGGACTCCAGAGGAAGTCAGCGCAAATGCAGCATCTGACCTGGACACTTGGAGCATCCAAACGGCTATTCTGAAGGAAGTGGTGACAAGGTATTCTTCTGCAATGAAAAGAGGACAGTAGGAAACTTTCCTAAGTTGTATACAATATATAACACAGAGCTTCTACCACAAAGGGTTATTATCATTGGAAAAGTCAGCCAACAAATAGCCAATAGATTTCTATCTTTAGACATAATCTTGCCTGGAAAAGTATAAAATTGGCAACACACAAGCTCAATAATCTCCCCATGTTTTTCTTGGGCTCTCCTGTATCTTCCCACTTGTGCTCACCTGCACCTTCCTCCCCCAGACCTGTATCTCTTCCCTCCCTCAGTGCTGATGTGTCCTATAAGTCACGCTCTTAAGACCTGATTCTCCCATTATCTTGGCCCTCCCTAGGGACTGAGGTAATTCATTAACAAGTACCAAAACTTAAAGATGCATTAGCATCATCCCCCACCCGGAACATCTGCATTTATAAGACAATTTCCAAGAGATCCATAATTTCTTTACCAAAGAAATGTCTCTAATAGTGGTTAAAACTAGTAATGTAACAAGTCAAAGCCAGGAGTTATCATGAATCAGTAGCCTCTCAGCAGTGTCCTTCTAATCACTCCAACAGCAATGCCTACCACTCAGATGACAGGTCCTAGTATAATACATCATGCTCAAGGTCCTTAGTCAGTGAATGAGTTCATCACAACTTGTCAAAGCACCAAGTAGAAATGAAAAGCAAAGAAAAGAAAACATCTTTCTGAGCCGAGAAAGGAATGAGGGAGGGAGGGAGTGGGGAGGGAAAGAGATGGAAGGAAGATAGGAAGAGAGAGAGGTAGGAAGGAGGGCAGAAGGGAGGGAGGGAGGGAGAGCAGGAGGGACTGAGGGACAGATGAAAGGAAAGAAAATGGAAATCAAATCTAAATTCCTAGCATACAGAAAACCCATTCTTGTGATAAAAACAATGTGATTCAGCTGACTGAGCCTGTACACATCCTCTCCTGGAACAACATGGAATAACTGTCCTTTGCAAGAAAACCACATGTGTGAGTCTGGTGATGTCCAATCAGGTTCTACTAAGAGAACAGCAATAGTTTCCTGAACCTTCAAAAGCCAGCCTATTCTACAGGCATGGAGATGTGGCCAGGTCTTTGCTATGGATTCAATTAAAACATAAAACCGGGCAGCATCTTCCTTTAAGACACTGAAACAGAACAACTCCACTCTCCCGAGTAAAGGCAAGGTCCTCTTTATGTGGGGCATTCTAACCATAGGAAGAAGACAGTTAGGAAAGAGACTTAGAATGAAAAACATCATTGCTACCATGAGCTGGCATCTGTGTGCGCAGTGTACTGTGCCTCATGCCTGAAGACAATGGAACACTCTTACACAAAGATTGGCACACAATGTTGCTGTCGTGAATGTCAGCCTGTTGTCTGCTGCATAAACACCAATTAAACCAGCCCCTTAGCAGCTCCAACCTGCTCAGCTAAGTTTGAAAAGAGCACATCTCTCCAGATCTCTAACTTTGTCACACTTACAGAAACTCAACTCTTCCTTTTATCTACTCCTTTTGTGTTTAGATGTTTTTTAGAATTATCCAAATATTCATAATTTGCAAAGAGAGCAAATTAGGTAGGACAGAACTAGCCAGCACAAACCAAATAGAACAAACTGAGCCTAAATAACCATATAGAACTGTGTTCTCAGCATCTTTTTCTTTATTCTGGATAAATCCTCTCCTGGAGAGCCTCTCCTGAGCTATTGCTCTCCATATCCGGGGTTTAAAAGCAAGAAGGCTGTCTTTATCTCAGGTATGATGCAACCTGCAGTTGACTCCAAAATGGGAAAATTGCATTTAAAAACCTTACTCATTTTCCCCAATGGATAAGGCTTTTCTCTTCAAAATTATCAAGCCACATATTTTCAAGAACTGGGCAATGAATTTCACACAGCTGATTCTGTC